TTCCAACTTAACTTTCTCTACCACAGCCTGCAGACCCCTCTGTGGGCTTATAAAAGTAAGATCTGTATACTAGTGCATATTAGTGTTTTATCTCTTCATTTGTTTTGAAGCACAGAGGATCTTAAATAGAGAGCTATTCTGCCACTGAATTAATATATCCTATTTTGTAGGCACTGACTCTTCTGGGAGAATGAATGGAAATAGATATATTGATATATGTTATTGGTGATGGCAGACATTCTCATTTAGAAATAAGTACATCATAATACTACAACAAGCTCCAAATCAAAATGCTGACAGCTGAAATCATGAGCTCATTTGGTAGATGAGAAAGAAAACGGCAGCAGCAACAATATATGAGTTAAAATGCGGATTTAGAAAGAAGCATTTGAATAAACAATTCATAAGGGCTACATTGCTTCCAGTGAAGATTCTTTTTTGTTTATCTTATAAACAGAAGAATGACCCTTTTAACTCTGATATTATTCATGGAAAAAAAGGGTTTTGGTTCAACATATTTTGGAAAAGCAGATCAAATCTATAGAGACACATCATAGATACAAGCTATTGAACCCCAGCATCGTAGATGTCAATTTTATAATTCAGTTTTAATGTGTACACATTCCTGTATACTTTATATTCCACATACTTACATATATATTTTGATGCTAACAAATTGGAATGCATGAAATTAATGGAGTTAGACAAATTAGCACATCCCCACTTTGGATCCTCCCAAATATTTCTCCAATAAAGCAACCTCACAGATCCCAGTAGGAATTATTTGTTTGGAATCTAAATGAATTGTCATATTTTCCTGGTATTTCTTTCAATGTTCGGAAGTGATTCAATTTCTGTTCCCATTTTCAAAATTACATTGTTCAAGCAGGTTTAGCTGGGTCCATCTGCAGCATGAAAAGGAGATATCTGCTTTTTTGAAGAAAAGCTAGTGTTCATAAGAAGAACAAATAAATGTTGGTAGGAGGAGAGCATTAATGGAGTGAAAAAACCCCTTTGAAAATAGCACAGTAAGGATTAGAGTACATAGGAATTGGCTGTGGAGGTGAGAGAGAAATATGTGATATGGAGAAATGCAGTGGAGTTTTCTGGAGGAAGGGATAGTTAAACAGGAACTCCTTATACCCCAATATTTGTTGCAGGTTCACATATAGATTTGAAATATGTGCTAAATGTGAGCATGGATGTCTGAGCATAGAAACATATGGGAAAATACAGGGTGCTGAATTCTAAAACAGTTCTAGCACCTGATAAAATAAGCTAAACTACATCTGTATATCAGGTTTAATTAAATAAAAACATTTATTTCTAAAAACAGACATTTTTGTTTCATGGGGAAAGCATCCTTCTAATTCTTTTGAATCAGGTACATAAACAATCCAACAAAGTAGCAAACTTCTGAATGAAAACTGTTCCTACAAGTACAACTGCAAGTAATTCCTCAGGTAATAAGAAACCCTAAGAGACATCACATACTGATAGAAGATATGAAAAATGTTTATAGAGGTGTGGCAATGATTGGTTTCAGCTATAATCTCTGATGCAGGGAAGAGCAACCTCCCCTCCCCCAAATATACTTTCATTGCTACCACCCACAAGCATATGAAAAGGATTTGCACTTGTATTGATTTACAAATGGATAAAACCTCAATGTCAGGGATCACGGTCCAAATATGCTAGCCTCCCAAATCCAGGAGCTTTATCTGCATGCATCAGTATCTATTCAGAAGCTGTTCACATGCTGGTTGAAGGCCCAGATGGTGATGATGCAATTTTTGTATACAATGGCAGGCAGCAGTCTCATGTTCTCATTTTTTAAAAAAAAATAATTTTTATTAAATGTTTTGATCTTTAGAAACAATAGGAAAGACACAGCAAAGAAAAAAAACACAATAAGACAAAACAAAACACAGAACATACATAACAATATACAGTAATTTTACAGCTTTCTATATCGGCTTTCCTTCTTAGCTTTTATAATTCTCCCTTCTGCACTGCCTTCCTCTCACTATAACCTTGTCCTATAATGTAACAAACACAATATTAACACTCCATATATTTGTATTCTCTATTTTCTGTCTTGGCTACTGTTGTCTAGCCACTTGTACATTTTATTCCATACTTTATGGAAGTCCGATTCTTCTCTTTCTTTTAGTTCTATGGGTCATTTTATCCATTTCTGCGCATTCGAGTATTTTCCTGATTGTAGTTTCATCTGAGGGTGTATTGATTTTTTTTCCAGTTTTGTGTGAAGGCAATCCTGGCTGCAGTGAGTATGTGTATGATTATGTATTGAGATTGTTTGTCCATTTTTTGATCCAGTAGTCCTAATAAGAA